GCCAATTGCACCAATTTTTCATCAAACGGTTTTTAACTAAATCCAAAATTTAATAAAATGTTTCTTGAGTCATTCTTGTATATGTATAAAATCTTTGATCATCAAATTGCAATTTTTTTACAAATAAATGATGGTATTCTCCGAAACGTTTCCTTTCTTTGTTTATAGGATGTACAGCTTTTTTTCGCATTTTAAAATACACATTTTCTAACAAAACCAAATCATCGTCCGATGAGTCCGACATTTTGCTTGATCTGCTTTAATCGGCTTTCTTTATGTATACGGCCTAAGACTCCGAATTTCTCTTGCGCGTTGTAGGCTTCCATACGTTGTGAACGCAGCGCTGGTAGCGCCATCTCTTAAGGAGGCGAGTTACTATTACTTCTATGTTCATTATATGTGGGGCATGTAGATTTCGCCGCCACAATATAAATCCCATTACACAAGTGCAGTTTCAATATTACATTACGGACTAACATTTAAATCAGTTTTAAGGTATGAACAATAATGGTCAACTATGTAATTAGAAACAATTTACCTCCTCGGAACTTTAGTTTAGGGTTCCCCTAAATTCACATAATCACAACATTAGGTACAGGAGGAATATTGATTAACTTGGCACAATTTTTTTAGCAGTGACGTCAGGCGCCGACACTTTGTCATTTTTTGGTCGTAAGCCAAACGAAAAAAGTGTCCATTAATTTTACTAATCTAACTGACGAACTAAAATGAATTTAGCTAGCTTTCATTTCTTTTTAAACACTCACACCAATTAGCCTAGCCCCAAAGTAGGCACTGCAGGCTTGTGTTATTGGATACTAGGGTAACGGAAAGAATAGAATATACTGTACATATATAAGTATATTTATATAGAAATACATATTGAACATCCATGACTGGAGTACAGATGCTCGTAGTCATCACACAAACATCTACCCCCACCGGGATTCGAACCCGTGACCTCTCGAGTCGGCGACACCATGAAACCCGGCGTACAAACCACTCGTCCACGGAGGTCGTCAATCTCTATAACAATATTAACAGTGAAGGTGAGCGTTGATGCGATGCGATGCAAAGGGGGACTCCTTAAACCTACACCTGGGTCACAAGTGTTTTCCTAATAAATTTTATCTTATACTAGCTGACCCGGCGAACTTCGTACCGCCTTAGCGTAGCTTTGATGCACTACTTTATTTTGTATAGCTGACCTATCTTATGTATGAGTACCTATTCAATTTTTTTATTTGTCTTTATATTTTTTTCCGTAAGAACCTTGTACAGAGTATTAGAAAACTACAAAAAAAAAATCAGCCAAATCGGTCAAGCCGTTTTCATGTTATGTCGTGACAACGAAAAACGGGTTTCATTTTTATATATCTTTATATATATCATTCTTCTGTGAGTGTGTATGTCACTGAACTTCTCTTAAACGACTGGACCGATTTTGATGAAATTTTTTGTGTGTTCAAGGGGATCTGAGAATGGTTTAGATTCACAATTTTGTCCGCTGGACAACACCTATTTTTTTAGGGCGGTACGAAGTTCGCTGGGTCAGCTAGTATAGATATAAAATTCTCGTGTAACAATGTTAGCTACCATACTCCCCCGAAACGGCCTGACCGATCTCTATGAAATTTTATATGCATATTCCGTGGGTCTGAGAATCTTCTACTATCTACTTTTCATATCCTTAAGTGATAATGGTTGTCCACCTGTAACGTAGTGTTCTGAAACCTACAATGCGCCTTCGTTCCAAAATTCAAACTATTGGGTATTGTAACGTAGTGTTCTCATATGGGTTAGGAGGAATGTTATCCCAGGAAATTGATAGAACACTACGTTACACAACCCTAAAATTTTTTTTGGACAATATCTATTTTTTTATAATGTGGTATTAAAAAATACATACAACCCTAAATTCTTTTATACCACCTACCACCCTACCACCACCACCGAAAATAGGGGATTTTTATGGCGGTACGAAGTTCGCTGGGTCAGCTAGTATATATATGCAGTGGAGCCCCGGTAATTTGGCCCCTCGCTAATGCGGAACCCCCTATAATCCGACATCGTCTATTACATACAAGTATTCGCTAATTCACGATTGAAGAAGTTACAATTTGTACGCACCATCACTATTTATTATTATTACTTTTATAATAAAATGTAATCTTTCTATTGTGTTGTTTAATTTATTAAATTTGACATACATAACGATGTACGATTTTTAATCTTATCATTGGATCTGTAATTTGTCGGATTACAAGGTACTCTTTTGTAAATAAAATCGGACTATAGGGGGTCTTAGGCAGTCTATAATCCGACAATATCGATAGTTCGACACTGCCCTGCAAAATGTTTGTCGGACTATCGGGGTTCCACTGTATTCATAAATCCAGTAGTTAATGTTTAAAATGGAGCAAATTGAGGTATAACGAGTGAGAGAATTGTAATGCATGGACATAGTGTTTCTTGTAATTTCTTTTTTGTTTTTATAAAGCCAGGTAGGCAAATGACTACCCCACCTGATGTTAAGAGGTAATAAAGTCCAAACGCGAAGATAGCTGGTACAGCAGTAATAAACTGCCACACCAACCATCCTCACCTTGCCGGCCTGCAAAAATGCTTCTTCACGCCTCTCTTAAAGGACCCCAGATTATAGGAAGGAGGGAACACGTGCGCGGGCAAAGAATTCCACTTACGAATAGTACGACAAAGACATGAGTCACTCAATTTCTTTGTTCGTGTAGGAATAGTGGCCACAGTAAGTCGGTGGAAACTTAGCCAAGCGCGCAATTTGTAATTTAATGGGTATTAGTTAGTTTTCATAACAGTCACGTGGTAAAGCGGTATCCAATACCGCTTTCTTTATATAAAAAAAAACTATATTCTAAATGTTATGGAAGGTGACTTCAGAAGTATCCCTGAAGTTATTTTTCAACTTGACGACTCTGTATATAATAATACAGGGAGAAAAAACAGCTCTTGCCGAGTTTCTTGCCGGTTCTTCTCGGTACAAAGTCTCCCGCCGTAGTTTAGCGGACCGATGCTGAAAGTGCTTGTAACAGCCTAGACTGAATAAATGATTTTTGCGTTTGAGTTATAATGAAGAATAAACTCCATGTTCTTTCAAAGAATGGACTTGTTGAGGAATATTAAAATGTGTTCGGTATAAAGTTCCTTTATTTCAATGAGGTAACATACTATCTGGTATGCTTTTGCATGATAAGCAATTTTTTATTTTATATTGGAGATATTAGACCATCGAGAATAGGGATGATGACTATTTTTTCTTCTTCGTTTATCAGGTAGATTATCAAAAAGTATTGGACTCGTATTTTTTCTTTTTTCACATAATACAAACATTGCAGAGATATAATGATTTGAAAAGTGGTTTTGGTATAATTTTCACTTAAAATTGACGTCACGAGCCCCTACTCCCAAACTTTGACGCGCTATAACTTTGCCAGTTTTAGGTTGATTGTCCAAAGAAAAAATACGTGTCCATAATTTTTTGATCATCTAACTGACGGACTAAATAGAATTTCGTTTACTGTACCCCGTCATCACACCTATTGCATAGCCCCAAAAATTTCAAATTATAAAAGTCTGCGGTTAAATATAACCGCGACGGATGGTAATGCTATTTAAAGAGGCGAGTTTGTTGTTTTGGACAAACTCCAGGAGTGTCGTAACTTGCAGTGCTGCGACATATACACATTTTATGATATGTATATAAACTATGATGAACTATGTGTGATATACAGGGCGTCCCACGGCCATGCCACACGTAGGGAAAGTATATTAAATATTGAAGATAGGATATTTTACTGAAAGAAGACATTATTTTATTTTTAATAATAAGTAGAACTTTGTTCACTGATATTTCAGAAATCACCTGCCACAACCGGAAATCCAACTTGTGAAATGTGAAACTTAAAAAAAAAGCGAGTGTCCTTATGACCACACGACTGAAGTGAAACTTCTTTAGCTCCATCTGTATGTGTTATGATTATGTGTGTACAATATATACATGTATGTACATTTACACATTTCATTTACTAGCTATAAGATAACGAGAAAAAGAAAATGTGCGCGAGCACTGCTTCCTCTTGCTTATATCCCCCACTCAACTCCCGTTCGCCTCGCCCGAATACACTTTTCGTAACGCATAACGCATTCGCCAGCTTACCCCCCAAGTCAAGCGTGCTTTAAGAAGTTCCACTTCAAAAAACGTAATTTATGATAAACGTCGAAAGGGTTTCCTTGCTCAATTAGATAGCGTTTAAAATGGCGGCCATGCCACTCCTCCGTGGGACGCCCTGTATATCCATAACGATTCCAGACTGCCTCGCGTCACCTTGGAAATTCACAAACGAACAGTGGGTCTATTGCGATATAATTCGTAGAGAGAATCAATAACATTTTCATCGTGTAGAATGAATGTTTTTGTTTAAGAATTTATGTCCTAATTTTTTTTGCAGTAAAACTCTATGCTAAGCTACGGACGGACGGATGGAGTTCCTTGTTGTCTATGGAGCCTTAAAAATAGTGGCAAAAAAGCATATGATTTTATTTTTGTAAGTAAGTACTCATTCGATCTATTCTACTAAAATATTTTACTCATTCGATCTATTCTACTAAAATATTTTACTCATTCGATCTATTCTATTAAAATATTTTACTCATTCGATCTATTCTACTAAAATATTTTACTCATTCGATCTATTCTATTAAAATATTTTACTCATTCGATCTATTCTATTAAAATATTTTACTCTCTCATTCATTCGGTTAAGAAGTCCATCTATTCTTGTCATTCACGCCATCATTCAACAAGCCCATCTAATCTTCTAAAGTCATTCACTCAGTAGATCAAACTTAATTTCACTAATACAGTTTAGGCCACTGATTCGCAAATCTACAGCAGAAAACTTTGTAATAAGAAGTGACAGCAAGAAACAGTACCCTGTTTAACAAATACATTTAAAGTGCCTCACCAGACTTGACGATCTCGGACATGGTCTCAAAGTCCAGCACGGAGCTGATGGGCAGCATGAACACATCCTCCAGCTTGGTCATCACGTCGGAGACTGTCTTCTTGCGCAGCTCCAATGCTCCGGATATTATGTTGACCTCATCTCTATCCAAATCGTTAATGTCAGTTGTCACCTGATGAGTAAAAACGGAATTTTAGATCAGTGATTCCCAAAGTGGTCTATATCGACCCCTAGGGGTCTATGAAAACCTGCAAGGGGTCTACGTCAGCGAAAAAAAATCAATATCAGGTAAGTATGGGGTCTACCCAACACGGGAAAACATGGCAAGGGGTCTACGACACAAAAAAGTTTGGGGTCCTGGTAGAGTATTATGCACTTAAGCGCTCGATGGCGCCAGTGGTTGGCGCGCTCGGCCTACGATCGTGAAGTTAAGCAACTTTCGCAATGGTCGGTCATTGGATGAGTGACCAAAATTTAACTATCTCGAGCTTCTCCGTGCTTCGGAAGGCACGTCAAGCCGTTGGTCCCGGCTGCATCTGCAGTCGTTATCATTCACCAATCCGCAAGTGCCCGCGTGGTGGGTCACGGCTCAATCGCCCTATTCCATCCATAGGGAAGGCCTGTGCCCCAGCAGTTGGGATATTAATAGACTATCATAATGATGATTATTTTGTAGTTACAATGGTTTTACATGTGTCTATGGTCCAAAAGCCCGATCTAGCTGGACTAAATTATTTGGAACTATTAAGTAGCTCTAAGACGTGTATACCATGCCAAAATATAGCAAAACTTATAATAGTTGAATTAAGTTTTGCTATTTTGAACGCCAAATTACCCAAACCAGTACGATTTGATCGTTGCTTAAGAAGATTTACCATGGACAAAGAGGTCTGCCTAAATCAGACTTTAGTTTTATTTTAATATTGAAAAAATACCTCGTTCTTTCGTTTCTGGCATTAAAAGCAAAGCAATATTTCATAGAACAACTTAAATAAATAAAGTTAAAATGTTAGTATTAAGAATTTAATTATGAAATAAGGAGCGTTGCCTATACAGGGTGGCCGGGGAGTTGACGTTCAAGCGTAAAATTTAAATACTTTATGATGAGGAGTATCCAAATCACCCCCATGTATATTCTATTTACGATTTTGCGTAGTTTTCGAGTTATAATTTTTAATGATTTTTTTCGTAATTTTCACCAAACATCAGTTTTCGATTTTTTTCTCATTCTGTTCGACGTTTCTGATTCAGTTTTTTTGTGATAACTGACTAACATAGTCTAATCTAGCACCCTAAAACTTATGGTTTATCTAGGCATTGCAGAATTCACTTAGAATTTGTTCGAAGGTTCAAAATTACGATTTGAGCTCAGTACACACAAATTTTCAAAGTATCAAAAAAAACGTAAATGGGGGGATTTGGAGTTCAAAGTGCTTTTAGAAACTTCCTGAAACATTAAACTTTAAAACAAGGCCAAATAAAGATAGGGTTAATGGGGGTTTATTTTCTGTAACTGATCTTCAAAGTAAATTAAGGCATTTTCAAAGGAAAAAATTTTTTTTTCTTTTATTTAAGTCTTTACCTTTCTCTCAGTTATGATGGATTTGCGTAAAACACAGTTGTTAATGACCTAAATTCTAATTCTTCGAGTTTCTAGATGCATACATTTAATTTCTACGGCGTTTTTCAAACTTTGAAAATCTGCTTAAAATAAATGTATTTTGTTAAAAAATAACTGCGTTTTACTCAAATCCATCCATCTAACTAACTCATAGAAAGTCAAAGATTTAAATAAAAGAAAATAATTATTTTTTTCCTTTGAAAATGCCTTAATTTACTTTGAAGATCAGTTACAGAAAATAAACCCCCACTAACCCTATCTTTATTTGGCCTTGTTTTAAAGTTTAATGTTTCAGGAAGTTTCTAAAAGCACTTTGAACTCCAAATCCTCCTATTTACATTTTTTTGATACTTTGAAAATTTGTGTGTACTGAGCTCAAATCGTAATTTTGAACCTTCGAACAAATTCTAAGTGAATTCTGCAATGCCTAGATAAACCATAAGTTTTAGGGTGCTAGGTTAGACTACGTTAGTCAGTTATCTCAAAAAAACTGAACCAGAAACATCCAACAGAATGAGAAAAAAATCGAAAACTGATGTTAGGTGAAAAATTCCGAAAAAAAAACATTAAAAAAATTATAACTCGAAAACTACGCAAAATCGTAGAACATACATGGGGGTGGTGATTTGGATACTCCTCATCATAAAGTATCTAAATTTTGCGCTTGAACGTCAACTACCCGGCTATCCTGTATAAACAACTGATTGTCACTATCAGAGTCACCAAAACTCGCCAAACTAATATTCCCCAAACTATATTCATGGTTTGTTTCAGTTTTTGGGTATTTAATCCGTTGTTCGTAAAACTTCTTAGTAGTTATTTAGCCTAATAAAATTGTCGTCGGATTTCTGATTTTTTGCAGATTTGTGTATGTGGATTGCCCAATATATAGTATAAGTTTGTAACTAAGATTAAATAAAAAAGGGAATATACGGCACTCATTTCTCAAAAGTATACTTATAGGAGCATGCGCATAATCACAAACAAATACGACCACTAGCACTCGTAAAACAATATAGGGTATTTGACAAGATTTAGAAAACGATCTCACGTTATTGGCTAATGTTTATGGAGTCCGTAAAAAGTGGATATTCATCATTCCGTTGTGTATTTCAGTAAAAATAACCAAACCAAAAACTCCATTTTCAAGTTGCCGCGAAATTGTTTCTCCGGACAATATGGCGTCTTACTAGTCTGTGACGTCACACGACTGTTATTAAAACGTCAAACGATACAATGTAATGGCGCTTTAACCGGAAGTTTAGTTGCGTGTGACGTCATTTTAGGCTCCGCCAATCCCAAGCGTTTTGGGTCACCTGACAATAGATAAGAAAACTATTATTTTTTTCGTGGGTTTTTAGTAAAAATAGTAAAAACCCCTGCCGAAATTCATTCTAAACACAGATGATAACAATTGGCACTTTATTTTTAATAGTGTGAAATACCCTATTGCGGATATCCTGTGTCAAAAAGATAACACAATGACTCCGATGCTTCTAAAACGTGCACAAATTGTTCTAGAACAATTAAATAATGCCAGGGCATCACTTTTCATTCGTAATATTTTTGACTTGCATTTTTTAATGTAGACAAATTTTGCTACAACATGAGACTAGAATTGTCTCTGTAGCAACGATATTAAATACCCTAGATACACCACGAGCGTTCAAAATGTGTTCCAATCAAGAAGTGCTTGAACTCCACTCAAGCACTTCTTGGTTCACAGCCCGCGCACCGTTGAAAAGTCAAGATGCCGCAGAGCTCCGAGAAAACCTATGGTACGTAAAGTGTCGTTTTTTCAACACATATCTAATTAATGTTTGTTAATTTAACGCATTTGAAGCAAATTTTGTTCTAATACTTACTATAAACTGATTTAATCGGTTATACGTCGTCGTATAGCCGTTTCTTTTCCTCACGGTCCGTACCTGCTACATTGCTAACAGCGCATTCAGAATTGCGCGTAGAGTCAAAGAAATAAGGTCTATATTCTTTCGCATATAGCAATAAGTCGTAACATTTTACGAGCATGCATTTCGAACTGTCATAACTCTTTGAAGCATGCGTTTTATCAAGACCTTATACAGTATACATTTAAGGTGACTTTCGATGTTGAAATAATGCCTTATATTGTTTTTGACAACGCGATCATCTTACCTAGCTGTGTGGATCGTAGAATGTACCTTTTGGACAGGTTTCGGCCACGATTTTGTTCGTATTGTTGTATACTAGGGTATTCAATATCGTTGATCTGTAGCCTCAATAATCCAAAAAGACAAGACATCACATCAAGGCCGGTAAACCTTCTCCTTCAGAGTCAGCAAAAGCAGGAGTGGTACCCTTGGTGCTGCAAGAGTCCATGAGAGGCAGTGACCACTTACCATCAGGTGGACTGTCCGCTCGTTTGCCTCAACGAATTAGAAATGATATGGAATACGAACTGTGCATAAAGTGGTTCCACGCAAACTGCGATTAAGTGGGCGGGGCGAAAAAGTGCGATCATTGCGCAAATAAGTGTACAAGTGGCGGACTTAATGCCATTATGCATTCTCTACCAGTCAACCGGAGAATTGTAGCAAAGGTCTTAAGAAGGTAGTGCAAAAAGATGATGATAGATGCAAGATAATATATATACTACATATAATAGATATCTATATAAATACATAAATTGCATAAATAATAATAAATATTGCCATATATATATATGTGTATGCATACAAATCTATATCATATCAGGAGGATGCTTTTAACATTATATTACCCAATGAATGGATAGCCTAATTCATTTGCAGATATTTGATTTGTCAAATTATTTTGTTTTGTCTGTGTGCGGGCCGCGTTAGAGTCTGTGCGGAAAGAGAATGGGCGTGGCTAAAAACGGAACTAACATTAAGATTTTTATTTGGCAATCAAACCCAGCAATCTGTAAAACGTCAAAGTTTCGTATTGATACGGATTTGTTTGTTGTTGTGATTTCTTGCGGTTTTTTTGTATTTAATCATGTTTAAAAGGGGTAAAACCTTACAAATACGGTAGAAAAGCACTACAGCGCCCTCCAATCTAAATCCCATTCTCTTTCCGCACAGACTCTAGTATTGAAGTTTAGCTGTATGAGTTTGGGACAATGTTTTAACGGCGTTTGTTAAAGAGCAGCGCTTCCATATCATTTCTCATTCTTTAGTTTGCCGGCATCCAAAAAATATCCAGCTCCAAATTCCTTAGGCACCAATAAAGCTATTATCATATTTGAATTATTATTGCAAGTAGTACTTACCATCATCTTCACGATGCATCATTGAACAAAATAACAAAACTTTTACTTAACACAAAAAGGCCAAGTGCGAGTGGGTCTCCCGCACGAAGGTACCGTTAGCAATACACAATTGGACACTATTACAATATCGAGCCAAAAAACAGCAAAATCATGACTGGCAATTGCGAAAGTCGTTTATCCCGTGCTTCGGAAGGCACGTTGAGCCGTTGGTCCCGGCTAGGGTTACCATCCGTCCGGATTTATCCGGACATGTCCGGACATTTTGCCTTCTGTCCGGACTTTGTCCGGCTTTTTTTAATTGGATGTAATATGAGTAAAACTACTTATTAAGGTATATCAAATAAGTCCAATAATATTAATTAAGTTTCCATTAATTTAAACAAAATATAAATTATCTTTAAAAATCAACAACGAGACCCCCTTCGCGATGCGAGCGTCTGCTACTACGCGTTTAATATCACTGTAACTAACTGGGTGATGTTTGCATTTTGTAACTAAAATGTCCGGACTTTTATTGAAATGTCCGGCTTTTTGTCAGGACTTTTCAAATTTTTAAATAGTAACCCTAGTCCCGGCAGCATCTGCAGTCGTTATCACCCACCAATTTGTACTGGGCCCGCGTGGTGGGTCACGGCGTAATCTCCCTATTCCATCCATAGGGAAGGCCTGTGCCCCAGCAGTGGGGACATTAATAGGCTGATGATGATGAAGACTCGTTACCCTAGTATCGCATAACACAAGGCTTTTTTGGCGCTACGTTGTTTTGTATTAGAAATATTTATTGAAGCGAAACTTCTTTTCGCAAATGGAAAAAACGAGCGTCACGCGACTATGTATATATGTGTGCATGTGTGTATGTGTGTCTGTGTGGGATGCGTGCGCAGCTCTTCCCGACGAAAATGAAAGTTGACAGAAAGACAAAAAAATGGAGGGTAACTCGGCGGAGGCGGATACGTTACGAGCGTCACACGCGACAGAATATATTGTCACAAACGCTCTCGAAACGTAACCGCGAAAGTGCTAGAGATATAACATAACGGACGACTGTATAATCGGACTGGACTTTTTACGATCTCAGCAGTGTGTGGTGGATATCGCTAGAGAAGTCTTGAATTTTCCGGATCAAGAAATATTTCTAGAAGGAAAGCCACCACCAGTAGTCTACAACGCCAGAACGGTTACCCTACCAGCGAGATCAGAGACATTGGTAGAAGTCAAGTTTCCGGAAGTGGCGTCACCGAATCGATGTGTCGTGTTAGAAGATACCGGGAGTCACCCTAGTTGGATCACGGCAGCAATGATGTTCGGGACGAGCATGTCTAAGGGGGGGGCAGTGTCACAAACGCTCTCGAAACGGAACCGTGAAAGTGCTAGAGATCGAATTTGCCAGATCACCGCGGGTCGCGATAGAGGTCGAGTAATGCGGCTCATTCTAAAATGAGCCTTATGCAGTACGGCGTAAGGGAGAAAGTGCAACGACATCTGCACTTGTTTACAAGTTATGCGCGTTACCCGCGTAGGTATAAGTAGGTACTTCGTACTCGCAAGTGCTAGGTAATTCTCAATTGAACAGGTACTTTCTAGAATGCGTCGATCGGCGTATATAAGCGCGATTGGCGCCGCGCAGAGACAGTTGAGTTTCAACAGCGATTTCGGAGCGAATACCAAGGCGATCAAAGTGCAACAAAAGTGTTCAAGTGCGGTTGTTTAGAGACTTGTATAGTGAAATACAGTGTTTAGTGAGTGTTTTGTAATTGACATTGTGTGCTATTTGTGTGAACTGTGTGGTGAATAAAGAACTGTCAAGCGTGAACTGGCATATAATTTCGAAACCCATCCCGACACGTAACAATATATATATAAACACATACATATATACATATGAGTGATGCGTGCGCTGCTTTTTTTATTAATATGTTGATAATGATGGTTACCATATACTGACCTTGACCAACTCTTTCAGCCTTTCCCTATTGTAGACGCTGCCAATTTCTTCACCGAGGAAATAATCTAGTAGTTTGCTCACTGGGAAAGCTAGTGGAGCTGTGAGAGCCATCACTGCCTGTCAGAGAAAATAACAGTTATTGATGTCGATTCTGGCGTGATTCTCTAAACCTAAACGACAATGTTAAAATTGGCCTAAGAACCAACACCAATTTGGCATTTATGATAATTCTAAGTATATTTTTTGAGATAATTATCAGTATTTACATAGATTGTAACGGACACTTCCAGTTAAGTAAGCTAAATTAAAAAGTTAAAAAATAATCTGAGACAATAAATACCATTTTATGTGTATAATCTATGACAGCACTGCAAACAAAACACTCTTTCTTCCTAATGCCGGCACTTCACATGGCTATTCGTATTTTCTTTTTGAAAACTTGACATCAGTCTGTCCTTTTCATTCCTTATTAAGCATGACAAGGACAGACTGTTGTCAAGTGAAGGGCCGGCATAAACTCGATACTCTGTGGTTGTGGTGCAGGCAGTTTGCATTCGTAGTAATCTGTGGCATTCGTGCATTCTTGTTTCGGATTACCTGTTGTGTGTGTTTATTTGCGATTGTTTTTCCTTTAATTTAACTATTTCGGCTATCTAATATGCCATCGATGTTATATTAAAGAACAGAGACCTTATTACCAAGTGCTAGTGAACCTGTGCCACAACATCCTGAGAGGATCATACTGCCAAATTATTCAAGAGCACCTGATACACATTCACGCTGCATATTTATACAGTATACATGTGATATACAAATAAATATAATATACAATATGATACAATTATGTGAAATACAGTCAATAAATAAGAAGCAAATCTACAGTTTTTATTTTATTCATGATTCCTACCTAACCAAGTTTTTCCTAAAGGTTATTCTTTAAAATCACACCGAATAAAATGAATTAGTTGTAATAATAATTCACTTCATACTGAGTTCACACTAAGTTCATAGGTTGACCTATGTTTCTTAATATAAAACATAACCTCAAAACAATTTTAGTTTTCCTAATAGTTTAAGTTCTGAAGAGTGTTCGTCAATAATCTTTGTTTTTACAGTCATTTACTTGCGATTTCGAGGAGCTCGATGGCGCAAGTGGTTAGCGCGTTCCGCAGCGATCGTTGAATTTAAGCAACTTTCGCAGTGGTCGGTCATTGGATGGGTGACCATAATTTACTATCTCGAGCTCCTCCGTGCTTCGGAAGGCACGTTAAGCCGTTGGTCCCGGCTGCATCTGCAGTCGTTAGCACCCACCAACCCGCACTGGGCCCGCGTGGTGGGTCATGGCCCAATCTCCCTATTCCATCCATAGGGAAGCCTGTGCCCCAGCAGTGGGGACATTAATAGGCTGATGATGACTTGCGATTTCGAACCTAGAAAATAATATTTCATGATTGTTGGTTCTTAGGCTAACTATGTATGGACGCAGAACAATGTCCTTTGACAACAGTGTATCCTTGTCATTCTTTAAACGGATGGAAAAGGAGAGACTGATGTTAAATTTAGTTTTAAGTTGAGAGAACCATGGCAATATCGACACCAGTGTGTTCATAACAAATAATGATGTAATTTATTTATTAATTGAATACATGGACAACAAAAATACAACAATCACAGGGTAACATAAACAGAAGATTTTTGACGACCTTCGTGGTCGAGTGATATGAACCTACGCCGAGTTTCATGGTGTCGCCTACTCGAGAGGTCCCGTGTTCGAATCCCGGTGGGGACAGATGTTTGTGTAATGAATACGAACATTTGTACTCCAGTCCTGTAATTCTAAACATGTTGAGAAATTAATATAATAAAATATTACAAAAAGGAAATACTCTTCGGAAAACAAACAAATAGTGTAGGTGTTTTAATAGTATATTTGTAATCGGTATACTATAACAAAAACATTGACGACAAGAAAATTTGAGGAAATATAAATAAAAAGTAAATAAACTGGTTAGAATCTGAGTCAAAAAACTTTCTCCTTCATTTGCGACTTTTTTACTGTTTTGGCAGTTTTTATTTTGTTATTGAATACCGACTGCAGATTGTGTTATATTTTTGAAGAATATTTATTTTTCGTAATATCAATATATATATTGAGATTCAACTAAGAATAGGACCGACTGGGCGCCATATTTTAACGTCATAGCTTTCAATTCAAACCAAATAGGTAGAGTGAGCAAAAAAAAAATATTTTGTTTAATAAAACTTCTGACTAAGATTAAGTGAGAAAACACATCAGATTTTTTTATTAAAATATTTACTAAGGTTGAGAAAAAAAACAACTAATTTTAAAAATATTTATTTACTCAGACTGTGTGAGAAAAACATAAATCAGAATCTAGCTCTTCAATTCCGCTCATCTCTGCATTACCGCGGAGTAGTTATGAATAATCATGCACTATTACTAGGTCACATACGAACATGCATCCTTTAGGTAAACGAAAGTTTTATATTGAGTTTCTAACCGCAACTTGAAGTAAAATTTGGTTGACAGTTTAGGTTATCAACTATTCATAGCCAAATTATATAGCCATTATTGAGCATAAATGAAAAAAAATATCAACCAATATTATTTATCAATATTTGTTATTGTTTGTTTACAAATGTGTGGTTTTTATTCTAGAATTAGCAGAGTGCTAAAAAAGGGTTCCAAGTTTTTTTTTGCAAACCGTACTTTTCAAGCGACATTTGACAGTTGGAGGTCATTGGCTTTCCTATTCTTATTTGAATCGCATTATATTGTATTTTTGAAAAGAATATATTTTCCGTAATATGAATATGTATTGTATTTTTGAAGAGTATTTATTCTTCGTAATATTCTTTTCAGCTCATAGTATAATATGTATTTTAAATAAGGTCGACATCAGTGACTGAATAAAGTTCCAACAAAATATCTTCTTACAACTATCACATTTACATTACGATAATATCGCTTGCTCATTATAGAAAAACTAGAGCCACAATGACGGACACAGTCTCCGATCGGATAAGTTTTACTATGGTCGGTCATCGGATGGGTGACCGAAAATTTATTATCTCCCACTCCTCCGTGATTCTGAAGGCACGCTTAGCCGTCAGCATCTGAACCCTACAATAATCGATATTTTATATTACAGCCGAAAGCAGCAGTAACGATGATGACTTTTCCGACGGTAGTGCAGAGATGAGCGGAATTAAAGAGCTAGATTCTGATCATTTTTTTTCTCACTGTTAATAAATAATTATTATTAAAAATCTGATACTATTATTTCTCTATATTAGTAAAAAAATGTTATTTGATAATCTGATATTTTTTCTCACTTCATCTAGGTAAATATTTTTTATTAAAGAAAAACTTTTTTGCTCTCTCTACCTAACCGGTTTGTATTGACAGCTAATTCACATTACGTCACAAAATGGCGCCCAGTCGGTCCTTTTCTTAGTAGACTCGCTTTGCAGTAATGATGACAACACCACTCACCTTAGTAACCATAATACTCTTCGCTCCAACCATCAACCCGTGTCTGGAGCAAATGGCTTGCGGCGTAATCTCACCCAACAGCACTATAGCCAAAGTCGAGAAAATCACGGCAAACAGCCCCGAAGTCAACTCGTCCAGTAGAATAGTGAACGTGGAATTCACAGCCACATTCCCCAACAGTATGCTGCAGAGCAAATAGTTCCCGTGGTCTCTCACCGGCATTATAGCTCTGGCATACTTCCTCTCCTGCTCTGTGCCAGTGTTAGCTATGATCTTCAGCTCAGTTCTGTCTAAAGACATTAGGCCGAGATTTAGCCCGGAGAAAAGCGCCGAGAACATCAGACATATGAGGATCAGAATGAGTGTCGCCCACAATGGAAGCAGAGACGTGTGACTGGCTATTGTTTTGAAACTCTCTGTACCCTGATGGGTGTACTTGTCCTGGTCTTTGGATAGATCAGTTACTCCAGGCTTCAGGTTCTTCGTGCAGATGTACAGTTTTGATCCTGTTATTGGGTGCGGCGCTGTGATTTCGAAGAGGGCTGATTTTCTTGTCACTGAGCCTTCTTTTGCCTGTGTGAGTGAGCAGAAAAGATTAAAGGTCGTAAGCTTCCTTATACTTTAAAGGCGCAAGTTTGTGAGTGTGTATGTTTGTTACTTCTCCCTAATAAACCGCGGGTAACACCGCAGGGCACAGCTAGTAAACAAATAAATATAAAAAAGATTTTTAATCATCTCGTTTTCAATTCAATTTATACGCATTTTGTTTAATTACAAATTAGCAAAAGTCGATTAGTAGGTAAAACGATTCTTATTTATTTGCCCTAAGCTCCCTCAACTCAGTCCAAGTTTGCTGCAAATAATTTCATTTCTAGAGCATGTCACAGCTATAATAAATACTTCAGGGGATTGGATATATTTTGCCTTCTTTCTTACAATAAATTTAGAAATTAATGGCTATAAGGTCGTTTTACCCTAACACTTAGTAATTATTTTCTTTTATTCACATAACTCTAAATATTGTACGTAATCTTAAGTAAATTATGTAAGTGTATGAATGTTTCAGTCTGTGGTAACTTAACTGGTTTATGAAAAAGTAATAAGTGTTACTTAATTGAATTGTGTAAAACTGTATGTTTCCCAAATGAAAATAAATAAATAAAATATTAAGATGACTCCTTATTCTGTAATTGGATTGCAATAAGATTTAAATAGTTTTCTCAAAAAGGCAATAATATAATCTACTTTACGTTTGCGTATTACAGTTGCTGTTTTAATAAATAATAAGAAAGACAAAGGGTGTATTCCGTAATATATACCAGTATACTGAGGCCAGAGCTAATGACGTCGTGAATCGACGCTTTACTGGTGAATTGTTCCGAAATATACAGGCCAGTGCAATGACGTCATAAATCGACGAAATATTAAAAATAGTGCGAATAAAGAAGATTTTTTTTATTCACCTCACCAATTAAAAGGAATTCTCCATGTTTGGATCCCATTATTGTTCTTTAAATAAAAAAGAAATAAAATTCGAATGCATCTCACACACCGAGCGTGTGTGAGATGCATTCGAATACGTCATAATCATACGTCATATTCGTTTTCCCGGTAAAAATATGGTAGCATACCAGTAAAATATGGCGTCGGATTCTTGACGTCATTACCAATATTTCCATATTTCGGAATACACCCAAAGATTTATTCGTCGAAAGTTTCATTTTCATTCATTCATTCATTCAGTTAAGAAACAAAAAGTGCAAACTATATTTAGTTTATTGACGTAGGTGTAGCTATGCTTAGGGATTTCTGCGTATCACAGTTGCTTTTTTAACAAATTATAAGAAAGACGAAAGATTTATTTGTCGAATGGTTTATTCATAAATTCATTCAAGAAATAAGTCTAAACTTATTTCTTTGCTGCAAAGTTGCTTTGCTTATGCATTCGGATACCATACACGTAACAGCATACTTGCGCAAGTTAAGTATGTGTATTAGAAGAAATTTAGTGAATAAATGTTCCAACACAGGTTAATGGCCGTTGCAGACGATGCGCAGTAGCTTGCGCAAGTACTATAATGCGGTTCAAATAAGAATAGGAAAGCCAATGATCTCCATCTGTCAAATGTCGCTTGAAAAGTACGGTTTGCAAAAAAATCTCGGAACACTTTTTTAGCACTCAGCTGATTCTAGAATAAAAACCAAACATTTTTAAACAAACAATAACAAATGAATATTAGTTTTTTTTTTCATTTATTGAGCTCTGGCTATGAATGGCTGATAACCTATATATGGTCGTCAATCAAATGTCACTTTATGGTGCGTTCAAAAACTCGATTTAAAACTTTCGTTTACATATAGGATGCATGTTCGTATGTGACCTGCATGATTATTCTTAATTTCTCCGGTGGTAATGCAGAAATAAGCGAAATTTTTCACACAGTCTTAATAAAGAAATACTATTAAAAATCGGTTGTATTCTTTCTCAACCTTAGTAAATTAATTTTATTAAAAAATCTGATGTTTTGTCTCACTTAATCATAGTAAATATTTTTTATTAAATAGCAACTTTTTTTGCTCACTCTACCTATTTGGTTTGAATTGACAGCTATAACGTCAAAATATGGTGCCCAGTCAGTCCTATTCTTAGTTGAATCGCATTATACTACTGAGCATATAATTTCGTCGTGTGAACAGCGAGTGCAAGTTGCTTAGTTGTACTCGCTTCTTTGGTCCTAGCGTAATGCATACGTAACTTGCGCAAATATATAGTTGCGTGTGTGGCTGCCATTATGGCAGAAAAGAAAAGCGTTCTTATTAAAGTTCATAAATGTTTGTAACTGACACCATAAATAAAGGTTGGTTGCCTGATACAAAAGAAAGTTACAATAATCACAATCTATTGTATATTGATATTTTTTTATTTCTAAATAAAATATAACTAAGCATTTAACTGCCAGAGTTTTCAATCGAAAGAAAATTTTACTAAAAAAAATGCACGCGGACTAGACATCGGACGGGACTCGAACCCGCACCCTCCGCTATCCGGGCGAATGCACTGACCATTATGCTACCGCGGCCCTGATGGCCGTTTCGAATTATTTCTAGTATTGCTTAAGCTGCAAAGCGGCGCCATCTCTCCGCATTGTAGGTAACCCACAATGTCAAATGAATACCTTTACAAGTATTAAACATTTGAAAGAAGAAATAACAATTATAGTTATATTTTTTATTTCTTAGCCATTTAACTGCTAGATGCCATTATGTACTTTTTTTTAATTGTTAGTTGTGAATTACTTTTTAAGCAGTTACATAGCTTTGAGATTTTCGCAACTTTCGCTACTGGGTGACCGAAAATCTTCTATCTCGAGTTCCTCCGTGCTTCGGAAGGCACGTTAAGCCGTTGGTCCCGGCTGCATCTGCAGTAGTTAGCATCCGCCAATCCGCACTAGGCCCACATGGCGGGTCATGGCCCTATCTCCCTATTCCATCCATAGGGAAGGCCTGTGCCCCAGCATTGGGGACATTAATAGGCTGATGATGACATATCTTTGCGTATGTTTATAAATAAACAAAACAGAAACGCAATCTCACTTACAGACCTACTTTTCTAATAATAAAAAAAAAATTAAACTAGACAAGCAGGCAGCTATTCAGAGGCGATATTGAACGCGTAAATTTTGCACCTTATAACTGAACGCATAAGACAGTTTTTCTCTTGGGCGGTGGCATGTTTTGCGTGTTGTTTTCAGTACGCGATCTGCTGGCAGTGAACTAATTTCTAATTACGTATGATCGACGCGTCCGTTTACGTACAGTCAAGGACACACGTTGATGCTAACGTATCTTTAGGGGGTTGGTAGGGCGTAAAAGGTGCAACAGTTTGCGAATTTAATTCAGGTGGACTTGGCATTTGTTTTCGAAGTGTAAACTGGCGAATGCGTTACGCGTTACGAATAGTGTGTTCGGGCTAGGTGAACGGGAGTTGAGTGGGGGAAATAAACAAGAGAAAGCAGTGCGCGCACACATTTCCTTTCTCTCTTTCTCTTATAGCTAGTAAATGAAATATGTATATGTACAAACATGTATATATTGTACACACACGCATTTTGACGACCTCCGTGGCCGAGTGGTTTGTACGCCGGGTTTCATGGTGTCGCCGACTCGAGAGGTCCCGGGTTCGAATCCCGGTAGGGGCAGATGTTTGTATGATAAATACGTGCATTTGTACTCCAGTCATAGATGTTTAATACGTATTTCTAAATAAATATACTTATATATGTACAGTATATGTATTCTATCCATTACCCTAGTATCCTTTAACACAAGCCTTATAGTGCTTAGTTTGGAGCTAGGCTAATTGGTGTGTGTGTTGGAAACACATATAAATGTGTATATATATATATATACCTACCTGCTTGTCTAGTATATATATATATATACAGATGAAGCTAAAGAAGTTTCACTTCAGTTGTGTGGTCATAAGCACACTCGTTTTGTTTTAAAATTTTATTCTTACTACATGGTCGTTATTAAACCCACATCTGTTGGGCGATTTTGTAAAATAAAATCTCAGTTCCGATTTCGGTAGGTGCCATTATAGACGTTAGTTTGATATGCATTACGCCATTACACGGCAAAATGTCGCTATGTCTGTACAGCTGCCAGTGTTAAATATTTAACATTTGTCAGAAATCCCAATAAATGAGTTCGAGAGATTGCATCTTACAGAATGCCTATACTGCTATATGCAAAACAAGAAAATCAGTGTGCTTATGACCACACGACCGAAGTGAAAATTCTTAAGCTCAATCTGTATGTATTATAGTAGGGGAGCCCAAGCGGGGATTTTTGGATTTACTCGAGCGCGGCAGAATAACATATGGGGAGCAACCTTGCACCTAGTTAAGTATTCTCATTATACCTGAGCCCCCTATGTAGGGCTGAACGTTTAGGGCATAGGTCAAGACTGGCGATTTGGACCCGACCAAAAGTCATGGCCGTTTGTTGAAATTTTGTTTTCGACCTTTGACCTATTCTGCCGCGCTCGAGTGAATCCATAAATCCCCTCTAGGGCTCCCCTACTATTATATAAATATATATGTGTGTGTGAGTGTGCGTGTGTATACAATATATACACGTATGTACATATACATATTTCTAATAAAATCAGTTTATAGCAAGTCGTGTCGAATTTTCTCTAGCCTTAGGCTGCAAGGCAGCACCATCCCTTAACATTATATTTAAACATCTAGCAGTTATTTGCAAAAAAAAATTAAATAACATAATTTCATATTAAGTTAAAAATAATAATAATTTTAAGATTTGAAACAATAAGAAACATATTGAGTATATTTAACATGCAATCATGCCATTTTAGACCCTGTGGGCCAAGACTTACCATATATTCTCCTTTCAATATGAACTTGCATTGCTGGCCAAAGTCCTGTGGGTAGTTCGTGAACGCTATCACAGTTCGCGGTGTCAAACCATCGCCGAATATCCTGGAAGTTAATCTTTGATTTATCATTCTAAAAAAGAGGGTAGAGGAAAAAAGATTCATAACACATGCAAATCTGACTATGTTAAGACTCTCTTTGCTGCTATAACTGTAATAAGGTTTGGGCACTGTTTGGTCTATTAATATCTATATATATAAAACTCAAAGGTGATTGACTGACTGACATTGTGATCTATCAACGCACAGCCCAAACCACTGGACGGATCGGGCTGAAATTTGGCATGCAGGTAAATGTGATGACGTCATCCGCATCCGCTAAGAAAGGATTTGATCAATTGTACCCCCAAGGGGATAAAATAGGGAATGAAAGTTTGTATGAAACTTTGTCAATTTTAAACCGATCGGCTGAGACTTTGCATGCAGGTATAAGAAGAATCATAGATGAATGTCATTGTGTACAATACAAGCCTGAGAACAAAAACTGTAGTCTACACTTCATTTCTACACCGAAGCGAAGCGAGGGTGGGCCGCTAGTTTACATATATGTACCTCAATATAATGTAAATGACTGTTGCCAAAATAAATGAAAAAAAATAACGTGTCAGCCTATAAATGTACATTAGTAGGATTTATTAATGTACAAATATAAAGATTAGGCCATTATCTACCACGTGAGCCCGGCGTAGATTACTTTGTTTTTAAATGTGTATGCTGTTGGTCGTGGATGACCTTTACAGCGTCACTGGGTTTGGGGACGGCAAGATCCTAAGGGGACCTTCAGCCAAAAATTGTAGAGTGCCTCTAGAGGTATTCCAGGCGGATAGCATCTCCCTACGGGGGGTCTCCTCTCCGTCTGGAGCCTCTACACCTCTCAAACCTGAGGGGGTCGGCTCAAATAGGCGTGTCTGAGACTCGAACCTCGGCCCTAGTTTTTAGTGGTGTAGATTGGTGTGTGCAAGCGACTGCAAATGCAGACGCGATCAACGGCTTAGCGTGCCTTCCGATGAACGAACGAGCGAGTGAGAGATACTAAATCCTCCATTTCACCGACAAAAACACAAGACCACCGAAAGGTAATGTAATTTCAATGTCTTGTGCGATCTGTAGGCAGAGGTTACTACCCCAAACATGCGTTGCCTTATCTTTATGTGAATACGTTTTTGTCGAAATTTTTTACCACGTACGACAAAACTGTGGAATATGTTGTCGCCAGCAGTGTTTCCGGACCAATACGACACAAGAACCTTCAAAAAAAGAGCGTACTCCTTCCTTAAAGGCCGGCATCGCATTTGTGATACTCCTGGTGTTGCAAGTGTCCATGGGCGACGGTGATCACTTACCATCAGGTGAGCCGTCTGCTCGTATGCCCCCTATAACATAAAAAAAAACTACTCCTTCAGGACTTCTTTTAACTATCATGAAGATACTTTTCAGTTTTAAAAAACCTTAACTACAATAATTTAATTTAACTTTGTTAATAAATTTTTAATGTCTTGAATTTGACATTCAAAATTTCAATTTCAACAAACCGGTATCACAGAAGACATTGAAGTTGGTCTCTTTAATATCAGTCTTCCTTAGAATTAAGAATTTTTAAACAATTACCTGAGAGTAACCGAAGAGTCAGCTAGTACACTGGGTATACCATCTTCTATAATCTTGGGCTCCTTACTAGAGTCTTCGATTCTGATTCCCTCCACAGCAATCTCATCTAACATCGCTCTAACACTAGTAAATTCATCTATATTCGTCTGCCTTTCAGTTCGCAGTGAAGCAAAATCTTCTTTAATGCCAATATTGTTTTCTGACAGTGAAGCATCTTTACTTTTGTCTCTATTAATCTCACGCTTTCTTCTTCTACCGACATCATTACTAAGATCATTTCGTATCTCATCATCATCATTATTAGAAACTATTTTGTTTCCAATTTCATTACCGAGATCGGAATATTTATTTCCGCCATCGGAGAAATTTGGATTATCAAGTACTTGGATGTCGTAATCCTCTTCATTGTCTTGGTTACCGTTTACTTCGTTTAACGGTACGTATTTATCGCTTACATGAACTTCTATATCGTTGGCTTGTTCGCGAGTCAGTCTGTTGACTTTGGGTAGTTTGTTGATGTCGATATCGTGCGAGAGGTCGATCCAACCTTTGGTGTCTTGAATATCTGCTCTTTGGACGTCCAGAGTTTCAGTTGTGGATCTGTGAACAAACAGATCGTAGTTAAATGCAATATTGTCAATATATCTATATATATAAAACTCAAAGGTGACCGACTGACTGACATAGTGACCTATCCACGCACAGCCCAAACCACTGGACGGATCGGGCTGAAATTTGGCATGCAGGTAGATGTTACGACGTTGGCATCCGCTAAGAAAGGATTTTGATCAATTCTACCCCCAAGGGGATAAAATAGGGAACGAAAGTTTGTATGAAACTTTGTCAATTTTAAACCGATCGGGCTAAGACTGCATGCAGGTATAAGATGAATCATAGATGAATGTCATTGTGTATAGTACAAGCCTGAGAACAAAAACTGTAGTCTACACTTCAGCTCTACACCGAAGCGAAGCGAGGGCGGGCCGCTAGTTGATTGATATATTTAAAAGTAAACTATACAAATAGCTAAATGGAGATAATTTCTAAAATTAAAAATGTTTTTTCGATCACAAAAATTAATGACATGTATTTAATTAACCTATAATAATTACGATAAATGTACTTTTTTTTTTAGTTTGTTTTCACACCAATTAGCCCAGCTCCAAAGTAAGCTCTGTAAGGCTTGTGTTATAGGATACTAGGGTAACGGATAGAATACATATACCGTACTTATATAAGTAAATTTATATAGAAATACATATTCAACATCCATGACTGGAGTACAAATCACACAAACATCTGCCCCTACCGGAAATCGACCCGGGACCTCCAGAGTCGGCGACACCTTGAAACCTGGCGTACTAACCACTTGGTCACGGAGGTCGTCATATGTTAAAGCCTTGTTATATTAATATGTGACTGTATATTTAATTAAATTAATATCAAATAACTCTTTGATATCCATAATTTTTAGAAAAATGTTGTAATAAAATATTTTCTTTTGTATGTTCCCTATGTATTTGCATGCTGTTTTTAAAATGGCAAAACGTATACATAATATCTTTATACCGTGTTTTTAACAAATAAAGATTACAATTATGAGGACCGATGCGTAGGTAATCAGTAATCATAAGCAATCATCATTATCATTTGATGTTTCCGCTGGTGGGGCAGGGTCCTTCCTTACGGATGGCATAGGCAGACTGACCCAACCAACCCACCACGAGGGACCAATGTGGATTGGTGACCAAAGTGCCATCCGAAGTACGGAGGAGCTCAATATATACTCGGTTCGGGTAACAGAGCGCCATGATGCCAAAAGCCATAATCTGTAACGCAACCAACGCGAACAAAACGGTATAATTATGCATCTGGTCAAACTATTTTTTTTTACAGTCCGCAGGTTTCGGACCCTTTGAATTTGAATCTCAAATAATTTTCAATAAAAACCGCCTAAAACAGTGTTAAAAATTACTAAATTTATAAATTTAAAACCATGCCAAAAGCTCACTGGAGGTATGTCCTTCAGTTTTATACATCATCAGCCTTAATGTTCCCACTGCTGGGGCACAGGCCTTCCCTATGGATGGAATAGTGAGATTGGGCCATGACCCACCACGCGGGCCTGTGCAGATTGGCGGGTGCTAACGACTGCAGATGCAACCGGGACCAACGGCTTAACGTGTCTTCTGAAGCACGGAGGAACTCGAGATAGAATTTTTTTTTGGTCACCCATCCAATGACCGACCACTGCGAAAGTTGCTTAACTACAACGATCGCAGCCGAACGCGCTAACCACCTGCGCTATCGAGCTCCTCCAATTTTATAGAGCTCCTGTAAAAAGTAATTGTATGTAATTATGCCGTTCTGTTCGCCAGCTCCTTAAATTATTCTTCTTTAGTTTTGAAGCGCGTTTGAATACACCGAACAAAGCCCAAGGGCGATAATAAGATGTTCACTCAATAAAAGTCAGAGATGCTATTTTCCTTATATACAAAAGCGATAAAAACTATAAGAGTATGAGTAAAGATCATAAAACAGTCTATGCGGGCCGGATGACGTCACTGGCTGATACACTTGGCTGGCAGCCAAAAGAGACATTAGGCATGCCTTCCATGATAGGGCTGTGCTAAACTTAGCTATTTTAAGCATTAAACTGTTCGACTTTCAAATCAAATCTTTGGAAAATATTGCTAGATTCCATTGGATTCAGTGCGTCCGCTCGGATAGCAGAAGGCGCGGGTTCTATCACGCCAGACATCTGTAAGTTTTTTCTTGTCCTACGCAAAATCGTATATCCACTACTGGTTCAATGCAATAGATTATACATAATGTATGTGTATTATATATATATACTAGCTGACCCAGCGAACTTCGTACCGCCATAAAAAAAAATTAATTAAAAAAACATTGTCCAGCGGACAAAATTGTGAATCTAAACCATTCTCAGATCCCCTTGAACACACACAAAAAATTTCATCAAAATCGGTCCAGTCGTTTAAGAGAAGTTCAGTGACATACACACTCACAGAAGAATTATATAAATAATATATGTATACTGTATATATTTAAATATTAGTGTGTTATGTTTGTATGTATTATATTCTTTTTATAGTATGTATTTATATATGTATCTATGTTAATTTGTATATATATTCGTATTTAGCTTTATACCGCCGTTCGTGTTTTTCATTTTTCCCAAAGGTTGATTGGGAGAGAATGCTTTTAGCATTAAGTCCGCCTTTTGCACCAATCTTTATATATATAATTCTTCTGTGAGTGTGTATGTCACTGAACTTCTCTTAAACGACTGGACCGATTTTGATGAAATTTTTTGTGTGTGTTCAAGGGGATCTGAGAATGGTTTAGATTCACAATTTTGTCCGCTGGACAACCCCTATTTTTTTAGGGCAGTACGAAGTTCGCTGGGTCAGCTAGTGTTATATATATTCGTCAATAAAGTTTAAAAATTAATAAATATATTACATACCTTACAATATCAACTTAATTAGGTATTTATAAGAAATATTTATCCTAGAAATTTCAGATATGTGTATGCAGCAATTTGCAACCCTGGAATTGAAAGCTTACATAAAAGACGCACGAGCAGACGTGACGATATGGTATGTTATGATTCCGTATGTAGACGTTAGTTTAGACGAACTAAGTAATACACGCATACATAATATCTTCGCCTTCATAGCGATTCGAGATGATAATATCATATTTGTTTCTTAGGTTTTCACGCACATCACTCATTAAATAAAACTACCGGCGAAAGCCTCTCTGAGTTTGTTTCGCCGGTTCTTCTCAGAAAGGTCTTCCAATTTTGGAACCGGTGGTAGTTGACGGTAGTTAGGGTCTAATAAATGAACTCAAAATTACAAAAAAATAATTTTAAATAAAGTACTTTTTTAATTAAATTAAACTCATACATAGACAATAAAGTTTTACAAATCTTCCAATGAAATATCCGAAAACTCAATAAAAGTGCTTTCGAAGGTAGCTCGACAAAAAAAAAGAACATTATTCAGACGATGCAGACCTGAAAAGGCTGCGAAACGTCAATAAATAAATAAAGTTCGTGCATTATTTGATAATAATGCACGAATAAAAAAACTACTTTTATTTGATAATATCATATTAAAATATGCACTGTTATGACACATAATCGTTTTGTTTTTCATTCTCTTTTTTGATTTCTACCAACTGGACTAGATTTGTGTATGTATTAGTATGTACATATACACTCAGCGGCACGGAATCTTGGCCAAACACTTCTTAAGCTATAGCATAAGTTTCAAGTGTTTACAACAAATGTTTTTAATGAAGGTGGGTCATAAAATTCAAAATTCAATATTCAATATCGTTTATTCAGTCTAGGCTGTTACAAGCACTTGTGAATGTCGAAAAGCTACGCCATCGGTTCGCAAATCTACGGCGGGAGACCTTGTACTGAGAAGAACCGGCAAGAAACAAGGGCAAGGGCTGTTTTTTTCTCCCTGTATTATATACAGAGTCGTCAAATTGAAAAATGACTTCAATATGAGGTAACTCATAAAGTCACTTTTCATTACAAACAAAAAAAAATGCAAATAATATAAAAAATATGACTATAAAACAAAAAATAAATATATGTAAAAAAAATGGTTTAACAAAGTTTAGGAATGACGTGTCCTACCGTTTAGGCAAAAAATAATAATAATGAACGATTAAAGTTTAGAACAACGATTAATAGTACCCAGTGAATTAAGAGCAGACTCATCTCCGCTGGCAGCACCCGTTCACGAGCATGACGCATGAACCAGCCATCGCTTCGCTCAACCATTTTTTAGGGAACGCAACGACCCGCCTCACACGACACCACCGAAGAGATTTTTAAGAGAGCATGACTACTCATAACCACACATGGATACTATGTTACTAAAATAGAAAAAAAATACATATAGGTACCAGTATACATTATTATAACAAACTATAAACACAACGGCAGGACACATGCATGTGATTACCTAAACACTGTTGTCGACTCTGGCAATACTCTCCCAACCCAAAACCAAATCCAACATCAGTCCCCCCTTTTCAGTCTGTATAGAGAATGACAAGGATACACCGCTGCAAAACCAAGTTCAGGTCTAGAAAAACATACCAGAATCCACACCGCCATTAAATCTTTATCAGAGAAATAATATATGTTCACTTACATTTTGATTGCTGTGTCACACAGTATAAATACAAGTTGTGTAATGTAAAATACAATCAAAATTTAATAATAATTATCATTACAATAATAAAGTAGTATAGAGCAGACTCATCTCCGCTGGCAGCACCCGTTCACGAGCATGACGCATGAACCAGCCATCGCTTCGCTCAACCATATTTTAGGGAACGCAACGACCCGCCTCACACGACAGTGGTGTCAATTCTGACGTGATTCCCTAAACTTAAAACTAAATTTAACATCAGTCTCTCCTTTTCATTCTGTATGGAGAATGACAAGGATATACTGCTGTCAAATTTAAGTTTAGGTTTAGAGAATCATGCTGGAATCGACACCATTATATGCATAAAAATGCTTAGCTTTGTTTTAAGAGGGTAAT